TGAAAAATCAGCAATCACATTATAGTTCTTAAATGGGAAGAAGCATCTTATACCTTGAGGCTTGTGATAGAGATGTAGCCGTGTTAGTCTGGTGTAGCTGAAACAAAATACAGGACTATGTATTTTTAAATTGTATCCTTTGGTATATATGGTTGTGACTATTTTCTTCCATTATTTGATCTGAGGAAGTGGGTCTGGCCCATGAAAGCTCATCATCTAATAAACCATCTTGTTAGTCTTTAAAGTGCTACATAGTCCTGTATTTTGTTTCACCTTGAGGCTTGTGTGTTTTGGTTGAGAAGGACAGGGGTACTGATCTTCTAAAGCAGGAGAGGGGAACCTTTTCAGTGAGGGGGTGCCAATGACCCACAGAGAAAAAAAAAGAGTCAGAGGCCACACGAATAAAAGCAAAAAGAAAAACCCTCATTGATATGGTCCTTTACTAAGGAGCAGAAAGACATTCCATACATTACCCTTGCAAATCAGAACCTAGGAGGGTTCAGGGGGCCAAGGTTAGTAGATTGTGTCCTTCAGTCCCTTAGTGGAGCAGTGGGAGGACTGGAGTGCCAGTGCAGGCTCTCCAATGCTGGGGGGAGTCCTGAGCCTTGGGGGGGGCAGATCTAGGCAAGCCGGGGGCTGCATCTGGCACTCAGGCCTTAGATGTCTCACCCTCATTCTAAAGACTGTATTATAATGCCCGTACATAATAGGGCACATTTAAGATTGTCTAAGCAAACTACATTTTAGCACTTCCTAACATTCAGGTGTTTAACTTTGGTAAGGACGAACTGGGATTCAGTTTATGAATTGAATTTACAGCCAAATATTTTTAAAGCTAAAATCTAAAAAGTTGATTCTGCCACTTGATAATTGTTGTCAATATTTGAATCAAATGTAATTAGGGTAGACCCCTCTTTACTAAGCGAGGAACTATTAGCATACTGACCATAATTATGCTAAGTTTCTTGAAAATTATTTGTGTTTTGTACTCTTAATCACTCAAGTTTATTAATTCACCCAAAAGCACTTAATTATAGACTCAGTTTAAGAGTCAGGTTCAGGTACATCAAGTGTTCTAAGCATATGAATATATAATGCAGTCTTGGCAATAGTCAGACTAGGGTTGAGGCACTGTAGTTACACAATTAACAAATCAACAAAAATGTCTGGTTATTTATGAGTTCTTTGGTACCTTTAATACATTTATCACCCTTCCAGTAGTTCTGAGTTAGGGATGTTAGGGCTTATCTAGACTACAGGGAACAGTCGAAAGGAAGATATACAAATTCCCGTGGAATTTGCATATCTTCTTCCAATCACACATTCAAAAGCAGAGCTTTTGAAAGTGAAAGTAGTTAAGACGAGGCTTTTTTGGCCAACTCTCCCCTTTGTTGAAAATCTGCGTAAACCTCCTTTTTTGAGGAAGAGAGGCTTCGACAAGGGGGTAGGGGTCACCAAAAAAGCCGCATCTTAACTACTTTGCACTTTCGAAAGCTCTGCTTTCAAAAGTGCAATCGGAAGACTTCTTTCGACTGTTCCCCGTAGTCTAGATGAGACCTTAGAGTATAACACAGGGCAACTGGTAAACATTGATTAAACTTTGCCTGCCTGTGGAATGGCTGACACCCCAGCTGTGGGCTCTGCAGTTTAGAAGCTGGAAGGCTCCATTCTGGTTCACAACAGGTCCCAGCAGCTGGTTCTGTAGGACTGGAGCTGGCAGGGACCAGCCAAAGCAAAGCCTCCTTAGAAGCAGGGCCAGCAGTCCCTGCCAGCATAAGATTGTTAGCAGTTACACCTTTTTAAACTCACTTTTTACATCCCTACTTTCCAGCTTGTTTTTGAAGGAGCTGTCTGCCAAGATTCTTTATCTCAAAAGAAACCTCCTTAAGAGATTTTACTTCTTTCCTCTGATCAAGTGTAGATATTGCTCCCTCTGGAACCTGTCAACAATACTCCTCCAGTTACATAAAGGGAAGTTAGTGAGATCAATATAAGGCTTTGCTGACACTGCACTTGTCACTTTTTTCAGAGGTATGGGGGGAAAAAAAACACCTTTGAACAGAAATTTTAGTGAGCAAAGCACCAGCGTGGTCAGTGCTTCATTGGTAGGAGCTGCTCTCTCGCTGATAAGCACCTCACCTTGTTCAGGATGGTTTTATTTTTTCCCCACTGGGAGAGTTCTCTCCTGGCAGGAAAAAAAATGGCTACACATTTATGCCGTAAGGTGTGCAACGTAGCAATAGCCTAAGTGATGCAGAATAGAGAACTCTCACACCTGCCCACTTTGGCTTTTTTCCCCAGGTCAGACATGTCCTAATATGACCGCTCCAAAATAAAGTAGAAAAAACCCCAACCTTGTTTTAAACCAGCTGTATCAACAGTATGACAAGGTTTTGGTGGTTGTAACTGTTCTAACTGGTTTACAAGTTTAATACCAGTCGGAAGAACAATTTCAGCCACCAGTGCCTAAGAACAATTTTTGTTAGGTTTGCATCATAGAGACATGCGTAACAAGCAAGATCCAAGTTCTCTCTCATTTTAACACCTGGTAGTTTATGCTCCAAACAGTTATAATAAACTGATGGAAGCAGTGTTCCACACAAATCATAGTGAGCTTGTTTTAGTTTTGTCTGGTGTCCTTATTAGCACTGTCTTAATTCAATCCAATGCCTCTCTCTGTACCCTTGCCCAGAAGGGGAGGGGAAGCCCTCCACAGCAGTCTGAGCCACTGAGTCTCCTTTGTTCACTATCCAAGAATCACCCCCAGCTATGCCCACTACTTGAATGACACCTAGAAACGTTGCCCATCTTCAACCTTTCCATTACAGTACCCTCAGTCAGTAAGCCAACTCCAGTTTGCCAGCTGAGCATTTCCGTTTCACAAACAACAAGGTGATCTGTCTTACAGATAGTAAACTGCATGGTTTGCCAACTGAGGATGAGGGTCATTAAGATTAACAGCCCAGGTTTATTGATTAATCGTGTAAACGACTACACACTAACAGCCCTAATCTAGGGTACAGAATCTTTTAATATCTGCAGGATTACAAATGGAGAGGAATCCGAGTTAATAGTGATCAGTAATTAACATGGTAGAAGACAGAACTCCATACATAGAAAGAAAGCATGTTTGCAACTTTGAGGGTCATTAAGATTAACAGCCCAGGTTTATTGATTAATCGTGTAAACGACTACACACTAACAGCCCTAATCTAGGGTACAGAATCTTTTAATATCTGCAGGATTACAAATGGAGAGGAATCCGAGTTAATAGTGATCAGTAATTAACATGGTAGAAGACAGAACTCCATACATAGAAAGAAAGCATGTTTGCAACTTTGAAGATCGTGTACGTAATTAAGATTAGAACAACAAAAGAACAAAGAATGGTTGTGTTTAGTTAGGGCAACTGGAAGAATTTCAGAAGTGCTGATGGAAGTCACTAAGATTATGAAAAAAGAAAACTGAAAAGTACTCAGTATTTTGAGTGCACAGCCAGTAAAAAGTCTCCCAAACAAAGTGGGAATCTCTGCTACAGCAATAGGAAGTTTACATGATTTAATAAGACTCTTAATGGCTACACTGAGCTAGTGGTGGGAAAACAATGGGCAGAAGCAGTTAAAAATTCGATAAGCAAGGGGAAGAGGATCAAAGAGATAGGATGTGTGTTGGGAGAGAGAGAGAGATAGAAAAAAGATAACTCCTTACGTTATGATGGACAACTAATAGGTAAGGTAGAAAGAAGGAATCATTACATCTTTGAAAGGAAAAATAAAAGTTAACAGCAGGAAAAGAAGGTCTTCCCCAATTTTAGTTACTTTCTATTTCAAGATTGCGCCTGATGTCAGAGATAGCTGGAGCATTTTGTGGCATCAATTCATATCAGACATCCTTCAGAAGTGTTCAAATAGTGAGTGGCCCATGGATAGTTCTCTATTCATACAATGCTGGTTCCTTTCAAATGTTTTGCAAGTATCCTGAATAGTCAGCAAAAAGAAGAACCTGGAAGCCTATAAAAGCTACTAGAAACACACACACACACACACACACACACACACACACACACAAATGTGTTTTTCAAATAAATTAAAACACTTATTACTTTGAATAAAATAAAGATCACTAAATACATCTCCAATATTATATAAGCAATTGTCAGGAGGAAAGGTGGCCTCCCAAGACACAAAGTAGTTCCCAACCTGTTTACCATTGTAGGCCATATCCAATACTGCATAGCCATGAGGCTGTCAAGAGCCATAGTTGTGCTACTGGGCCAGAAGCAGCCCACGGGCTGAGACCCACAGCACTGGGGTCCATATTATGAGTTTAAGAAACTGCTAGAAACATGCTCTCGACCATCTTGGTTAAGACACCTCCTCCCCCTCCCCACACACACTGCCACTTGAAGAGTTGTCAAGGCAGCATTTTAAACACATACAGATGAACCCAGCCCATGTGCACAATTTTCAATCCTCAATAGCAGTTGCAGAGTGAAGGCAGAATTCAGCCCCTGAGCAGAAAGGCCTTACTAGTAACAGACACGTGTATTCCCTTGCTGTAATTATTCTTCGCCTCGCTCATGGATCCCAGAGACATGCCCGGCAGATTAGACCTGCCCCAGCTGCACTGTCAGGGCACGGGGGCTCAGAAAGGGGACGCGACAAGGCCTCGAGGCAGTCCTGAGACGTCAGGAGAGCCCACCCCCGAGCTAGCCCGCAGCTCCATGGGCAGGACTTACAGCCACTACCGGCCCCCCGCACTGGCACCTCCCCACCCGCCCGATGCCGGCTCCCTCCTCCACGCCTCTGTGGGCGCCTTGGCCGCAAACAACTCCCCGTCCGGTCCTCGCCGCCCCGCCCCCCCAGCACGACCAGCCCAGCAAGTAGCCAGCCGGGCCCGGGCAAGGCAGTCTCACACACCCCGCCAAGCCCAGGCGCGCCAAGGCACCGCCCGCCCCCCATCGTGGCCCCTCGCGGGGAGGTGGGGGTGGCGACTCTTACCTTGGCCACATAGTCCTTCACCTCATCCAGGTCTCCATTTTTGAGGGCCCACATAAACTCCTTGTCAGACATAGCGGCTGCCTGACAGAGACGCGGGAGCCCAGCACCCACAGGCAGAGAGAGGGGCAGGGCTGCTCAGCGTGCGGGCGGGGGCGGGGATCCCTCTCCGGCCAGCAGCTCTCGCTCCCCCAAGGGAGAGGACGCGGACGAGCGGCCGTTAGGGCGGTTATAACACCACGTTCCGGACCCCGCCGCCCTCGCTTTACGCCGGGAACAGAGAAAGGGGGAGGGATGTCCGCCCAACCGAAGAGGAACGCGGTTTGGCAGGCAGCGCTTCCGCTTCCGCTTCCGGTTTTCATTCGGTCAGCCCGGCCCCCGGTGGAGACGCCACTAAACCACGCATGCGCTTCCGGGCGGCAACTCAGTTCTCTCACTGCGCATGCGCTAGGTTGGAGGTGGTGGCTCGCAGTGACTCGGGCAAAGCCAGGGTTCTTACGGTAGCTCTGCGCTGGGTCCAGCAGGTTCTCACAGTCGGTGCTTGCTCCCTTGTTACTCTCACCATGACCATCCCTTGCCATACTTCTGCTTTCACCCGCTGCCCGCCTAGCAGGGGCTGCTGTCTGAGCAGAATAAAGAGGACATGAAAACAGGCACAGGGACGCAGGCACGGGTACAACTGGTAAAATAGGGAAGACCAGATAGGGAACAAATGGCTCGGACGAAATGGCTGCATGCTACAGGGGGAAAGGGTTTTGCATCCCCTTTCTGATGTATTTGAAATAAAGAAGGGCTAAAACGTGTGCTGAATCCCTTTCGTTGTTGCTAGAAAACCCAGGCTTATGTAACTGGTTGCTAAAAGACTCGATAACTGTCGTTACATAATGCAAGGACTATAGCAAGTGAAACCCAATTCTCGCTTGTTTGTGTGCTGCCTTTGGTATCTGGAACATTTCTAAAAACCTACTCAATCAGGGGTGAATATATATATATATATATATAGAGAGAGAGAGAGAGAGAGAGTCCATGTAGGCGAACTAGGCGGCCGCCTAGGGCACCAGGTTAAATGGGGTGCAGTCCATGGGCACAATATCATTGAGGGCATTGAGGGGTTTGGAGGTGGGGGTGCCAACTGCATGGTTTGCCTAGAGTGCCAGCTGCTGGCAGCTAGTCTAGGGCCGCCCCTGTACTCAATCAAGCCACAGTCCTAAACATCATCCAAGTCACTCCTGGATACTAAATACAAAGCATACAAAAGTGAATTACTTAAAATGTAAACTAAAAAAGTTTGCAAAAATTGTATACAGAATGACACCAATATCATATTTACATCCCTATCCAGCACCCCTCTAATTTGCTTTGTTCCTCACTTGTTGCTTTCAGTGTAAAATTGAGGGCTGGATCCTGCAAGTGGAACCCTGCCACAGGGTTCTACTCATGACGGAGTAGAACTTCAGAATGTGATTTAGACAAGGATTATATCTACCTGCTATAGAAACCACCTGCCACACCACTGAACACAAAGTGTCCGTCTTTTAGAAATGATGTAATAAGTTATCACTTTATAAATTTAATGGATTATTGAAATAAAGTTGATTATATTTCTGAGGGAGTGTTTAAGACAGGCAGCCCTATCTCTCTATCAGCCATACTCTGGAGGCTACACTCTTGAAATGAGATTTTAAGTGCATGTTCTCCAACAATTGTGTGAAAAAGTGTAGCTAATATTTTAAAACTGTAACTTTGTTATAAAATGAGAAAAATAGGCAAAATCCATTATATTGAAATAAAGTTGATTATATTTCTGAGGGAGTGTTTAAGACAGGCAGCCCTATCTCTCTATCAGCCATACTCTGGAGGCTACACTCTTGAAATGAGATTTTAAGTGCATGTTCTCCAACAATTGTGTGAAAAAGTGTAGCTAATATTTTAAAACTGTAACTTTGTTATAAAATGAGAAAAATAGGCAAAATCCATTAA